CCTAATAATCCTAAGGAAAACAATAGGGCTCTGCGCCTTTTCAAGGCTTGGGCCCTAATAAGTCGGAAGAAGAAGAATAATAATAATCCTTAGGAAAACAATAGGGCCTTCGCCTTTTCAAGGCTTGGGCCCTAATAATAATAATCCTAAGGAAAACAATAGGGCCTTCGCCTTTTCAAGGCTTGGGCCCTAATAATAATAATAATCCTAAGGAAAACAATAGGGCCTTCGCCTTTTCAAGGCTTGGGCCCTAATAATCCTTAGGAAAACAATAGGGCCTTCGCCTTTTCAAGGCTTGGGCCCTAAAAATAAAAATCACATGTACATAATTATTCGGTCCGTGTACCTTGCGTTCATTCGTTTTTTGATTTAATATTGAAAGTAGAAAAACAAGAAAACAGTTCCTTTTCGTAATTTATTAATGAACGCAAGGTACACGGACCGTATTCACAGCCTTTGCTCAACACTATGTTGAATCCACTTTGGCATCAATTACAGCATCTAGTCTTTTTGAGTATGATGCTACAAGCTTGGCACACCTATTTTTGGGCAGTTTTTCCCATTCTTCTTTGCAGAACCTCTCAAGCTCCATCAGGTTGGATGGGGAGCGTCGGTGCACAGCCATTTTCAGATCTCTCCTGAGCTGGGCTCTGGCTGGGCCACTCAAGGACATTTACAGAGTTGTCCCGTAGCCACTCCTTTGTTATCTTGGCTGTGTGTGCATAGGGTCGTTGTCCTGTTGGAAGATGAACCTTCGCCCCAGTCTGAGGTCCAGAGCGCTCTGGAGCAGGTTTTCATCAAGGATGTCTATACATTGCTGCATTCATCTTTCCCTCGATACTAACTAGTCTCCCAGTCCCTGCCGCTGAAATACATCCCCACAGCATGATTCTGCCACCACCATGCTTCACTGTAGGGATGGTATTGGCCAGGTGATGAGCGGTGCCTGGTTTCCTCCAGATATGACGCTTGCCATTCAGGCTAAAGAGTTACATTTTTGTTTCATCAGACCAGAGAATTTTGTTTCTCATGGTCTGAGAGTCCTTCAAGTGCCTTTTGGCAAACTCCAGGCGGGCTGTCATGTGCCTTTTACTGAGGAGTGGCTTCCTTCTGTAGGGCTGTGACGGTATGGGATTTTTTTTTTACTGCGGTGAAGAAGCAACAAATCTCGCAGTTTGGCGGTTAACCGACAACCCCAACCCCAATTTTTTTGTGATTTTTTCTAAATGTCGATAAAAAACTATTGCGAAATGACAGCGTTTCCATTAACCGATGTGATGCGACTAAAACGTTTTTTTTTCCTCTCGCGACAAGTCATTCCAAAAATCATGACAATGGACGAATGTAGGTTTATAGCCTATATCAGAGCCACCACACTAAACATTATTACTATTTATGGAAGGAGACGTGGTGTGCTATCCAAGCGTTAATGGCATGGAAAGATACTGCAAACGGCACATAGGCCTAGCCAGGAGTTCCTGGGTGTTTCTCCCTCATTTCTGCTCCGAGGTCTTGATTGTGGCATTTATTTGAGGTTTAGAATTCAGTATTCCTGTAATTATTGTTTATTTTATAAATTTAATAAAGAACTCTGTCTCGTATTATGTCCATGTCAGTGTACTTTTGTGTCCATTCGTTTTTCCTTATATAGCCCGTAATTGCGAAACGAAAAATTAACGGTTGTTGTATTTTTAAAACGCATAGTTGAACACCAAAATTGTAATTTGAACTGTAGGCTACATACCAAATGCTGCGCAAAAAAATAAATATCGACGAATTTTCAGATTTTGTTTATGACTTTTTGCCCCTCTATTAAACATTTAAAATATTCACAAATTAATATGGAAATTTTTTCTTTTAGATTTTACTGGTTTCCTAAGGCCAAATTAGAACCTGGTGTAGGGTCTGGACCCATCAGACACACACTAATTATTCATTATATACAAAGGTTTATGAAACTCCAAAACTAACATCCCAAATGAAACGAACACCAGGGCTGAAACAGTGTCATGTTACAGGGCAGATAAGGAGATTTTACGAGATTTTGGAGTGAGGAGGAATGTGGAATGTGGGATGGAATGTGGCCACATGCGCAAGAGAGAGACAATGGGAAGACAGAAACAATCTTTAATACAGACTTTGCTGCATTAATCATAGACTAACTGATCTATAAATGAACATGCATAAAACTGTGAAAGAAACAGTGTAAATGGTTTACTGTCTTGTGTACTATTATGTATATATTATGGTATGTACCTTGGTATACAACCAACTAACGATCAATGTAACCTCACCTGTATCATGCCTCTTACCTAATTAATCCTCATTTAATGACTCACACTTTGAAGTGCATCACCTTCTTCTAGAATGCAGTGTGGATGTGTTATATCTATCTGAGCATTAATGAAGGTATAACCACGCAAAAGACTCGTAAATTAACTAGAGCACCCTTCCCACTCGGACATTTCACCTTGCTTATTGGTCTAGTCAACCCTTAGGGGTTGGATCTTTCTCAGGCTTTATTAGAGACAGTCCACATGTGACCTCCCTCTCTTAGTTTTTCATCCAGCCGCAACACTGTTTCTGGTGATACTGGTGAACCCCCTCCACGGGGGCCCCAGGGCCCAGCAGGCCTTGATCCAACCAGATATGGGCTCATGCAGGAGAGAGAAGACTCTCTCACAAAGAACCAAGGACAATCTCAGGAGTTTGGAACCAGGACTCCAACCAACAACGACTCCAATCACCCACTCTTCCGACTTCCTCACTTCTCCTGGGTGCTCGGCGTGGCCTCAACAGGGCCCAGGGCCCCAGGCCTTGACCAAACCAGCCATGTGCTCATGGAGAAAGATAACTTTCAAACAACTTCCACTTGCCATTGCCGGAACCCTCAACGACTTCAATTTTCCACAACTTCAAGAATTGTTCCCACTACAAATGCAAGTATTCAATTCAATGAAATGTGAAAATGAAATACTGTTGGTTCTTCTCATAGTTAGATGGATCTTCCCCATTGTTACATCATTCCATCTCTCACTCCTTTTTCCTACACATGTATTTATGTATGTTTGTTTAGTTTATTCATGTTTATGATTTAGTTAATACAACTTGTGCACTTTATGTATTTGGTTCTGATTCACTGCTTGCAAACAAAGTCTCTTTTACGATCTTGATCTTGCTACATGCTCAAAGCGCTGTACATGCTAAGAAATAATTATTCTTCTGTGGCCATTGAAGATACCCTTTTCTTAGAATAAATTAATAATCAAAAGAGTTCGTTGGACGAACTGATTAATTGATTGTAATATTAATTTAGCCATGTCAAGTTAATCCAATTAACTGACCCAAATATTCATAATTAATCATAACAAGTTATTATTGATTATTAATATTTCCTAGAGCTAAGTTCCTTACACTGGAAATTACATTTTTCCCACAGTGCTGGATGAGAAGAGCCATATAACCACAGCATACAGAAAGGTGATTTATAGGTGAGCTATAGGCTATAATAAATGTGTCTGAAAAAATAATGAGGCATTTTAATTGTTTATTAATAAACTATTGTTTTCTAAATCAGTGTCGGCTAAAACATATCTCCATCTCCGCTGTGAAGCGGATGCACCTTTAGAGAGAAATGCATGTTTCAGACGTATTACATAATTAGAAGGTAGGTAGGCCTACCGCTATTAACTTTCGATTCGAATTTGTTCGTTTTAAAGTGGAAATTTCAAGCTTTAGCCTACATAGGCGATATTTTGTTTCAGTTCTCGCGCTCCAGTTCACGGAGACCATGAAACCGCGCCTGATTGTTTTATTTTATTTTACAAAAGCACAACGTTTTCTTGTTATTGTGAGTTTAAACAAATAAAAGTAGTTGCGAATAATGTATAATTATTTTCTGTATGACCAGAAATGATAGAGTATTTTAAGTTGTTTCCACTGTTGATAGGAAAATGCAAGTGTTCATGCCCGCGCCTCCGTGCCGTGCAGTGCGCGCATATGTTTAATGGACTGTCCCTCCCTTGCGCAGGAAGCGTTTTTTTTTTCTCCAGAAGACCTTGAACATAGGACTCGCGGAATACAGTAAATTATAAGCAAAGATTAATGTGTTTATAGTTCATATCACACACCATATGCACTCCTGTAACTTTCAGCAGAAAAAAAGTGCGGTGATGACCTCCGCGGTAGGCATCTCATTAACGCGATATTGCGGTGATGCGGTTATCGTCACACCCCTACCATACAGGTCTGATTGGTGGAGTGCTGCAGAGTCATCTTCATTTATAGTTGTACAGAGATAGTTGTTCTTCTGGAAGGTTCTCCTCTCTCCACAGAGAAACGCTGGAGCTCTGTCAGAGTGACCATCGGTTTCTTGGTCACCTCCCAGACTAAGGCCCTTCTCCCGATCGCTCAATTTGGCCGGGCGGCCAGCTCTAGGAAGTGTCCTGGTGGTTCCGAACTTCTTCCATTTACGGATGATGGAAGCCACTGTGCTCATTGGGATCTTCAATGCTGCAGAAATTTTTCTGTACCTTCCCCAGATCTGTGTCTCGATACAATCCTGTCTCGAAGGTCTGCAGACATATCATGGCTAGGTTTGTGCTCTGACAGGCACTGTTAACTGTGGGACTTTATATAGACAGATGTGTGCCTTTCCAAATCATGTCCAATCAACTGAATTTACCACAGGTGGAATCCAATTAAGTTAACACCGGAGCTCAATTTTGAGAGTCATGGCAAAGGCTGTGTTTATTTTTAATACATTTGCAAAGATTTCAAACAAACTTCTTTCACATTGTCATTATGGGGTATTGTTCATAGAATTTTGAGGAAAATAATGAATTTAATCCATTTTGGAATAAGGCTGTAACAAAATGTGGAAAAAGTGAAGCGCTGTGAATACTTTCCGGATGACCTGTATGTAAAAACCATAATAAATGGGTCCTTTTGTGAAGAGAAACTGATTTGATTTAGAGAATATATATTTATGTATAATCTACCTGACTTAAACATCTGGTCAGCCATGATCAAATCATTCAGGGTGCTGATGTTGTCCCATCCAGGCAGAAACACTAGAATTGCTCCATCCTGAAAGACAAAGCAGCATCAATGTGTCAACCATATCACATACTTTTTAAAAAAAATATCGTTCAATATTTTGGGGTCAGTAAGATATTTTATTTTTAAGAAAGTAATACTTGTATTTAGTAAGTAGGCATAAATAGATCAAAAGTGACAGTACAATCATTTAACCCCCTGGGGTCGGCGGTCGCGCCAGCGATACCAGCTCACTTTTTTTCTTATCAAAAGAGACTCAAAATACTCTGTTGATTTTGATCTTACATATAAGTGTTGTACATCATTAGATCCTGTTAAGTGTCTATTTTTTTTGTGGATACTCACAATAAAAACAAAGTGTTGTGCTTTTCGCCAAATAAAGAAAAAAAAACATGATGCGAGTTCTGTGTTCTCTCTGTCAGTGAAGTCCATTCTGAAACGCGTCCGAAAATGAACTGTAACTCAGTGAATACTCAGTCAAGCAGGAATACAGGCACACAGGCATGAAGCTTGAATTATCGTCTTGTAAATGAATATAATAAAAAAAACAAATATTCTCAGTTAATGTAATCTGTTTGAAAAAAGAGATATGTCAGTCATTTTCTTTTCAGCTCATTATAGCTCATTAAGTTTTAATGTAACCACCACGCCCACAGAGAGCACGCGCTATTCAAACGCAAATGATCTGAGGCAAGCCACGCAAACGTGTCAACGCCCACAACAGCTGGACAAAACACATCAAGTTTAATAAGAATCATTTACTTTATGTCGTCTTGCTACGCTGTGAGGGATAATACTATCTAATAACCTTGGAAAAACGTACCTCAGAAGTGCTGGTAGTTTCATTTCGAGGAGCAATGGATCAAGCTGACGTGAATAGTAGCAAGTTATTTATTCTTAAGTGCTTTGTTCTAATCGCGATATGGAATAGTGTCTGTAAACCACAAAAGACTGTTTAAATATGAATCGCATGTCTGTGTGTGAATTAATGAATGAACGGCACTGATGCGTGCTGTTGTTTACTACTTAAACTGTGCCGTTCATTCAAACTCGACCAAGCTTTGATCAAACTATAGAAGAGTAAAAATAGACTGAAATATGTTGAAATAAAATGTCTTTGTATAAGCAACAAACTGCAAATTAACATTTATATGCTAATATATCATACACACGATATGTTACAGACTAAATATGAATGTTTTTGTTGATCGATAGTTTTTGGATAGATTATAAAGTTTTTACTGTAAAAAAAGACTACTGCCACATTAAATAAGCTTTTGTTTGCCAATTTCTGCTCATATGTTAAATATATAGTATGGGATGTTTTGTCAAAAATAAAGTATGTATATTGAATTATCAACTAAGATGTTATAGTGTTTGTTCCAATATTCAAACTAATGAATCCTTACCTTTGAAATATGTATGATAAAATATATACTATTTACAAAGAAAGATTACACTTGAAATATTAGTAAAATTGCAATGGTTGTTGTAATTGTAACTTTTTTTTAGTGTTTTATTAGTGACAATTTTGGGGAGAGGATACATATTCCAAAACTTTCTGAAAATACAGTATGAGAATTAACTACACAATTACTAGAAATGTTTACCTTGGATATTATACAATTTGCATGCATACAAAATTTGTGGAAAAAGACACATTTTTTCAAGACGTTTCCAACTCTAACTTTGAACCAATTCTATAGAATATATATATATATATATATATATATATATATATTCATTCTACAGAATTGGATTTCTGTAGGATAATGTGACACTGAAGAAGGGAGCAATTCAGCAATCATCACATGAATATATTATTAAAATATATGAAAGAAGAAAAAAAAAATATTTTAAATTGTAATATTGTTTCACAATTTAACTGTTTTTACTGTATTTTCGATCAAATAAATGCAGTCTTGATGAGCATAAAGGCTTTCAAAAACATTCTAAAAATCTTACCAACCTCTATTTTACACAAACTGCAGTGCTCATTTCAGGTTAGAAATTTGAACAACCCCCTAACAAGCAAGGATGACAATCATTTAAAAAAAACACCAACATATCTACTTGGGATCAGAATATCACAGACTTTGGTCTGGACTCTTTTTCACTTGGGCATGTAAACCACATAACAACAACTCAGAATACCCTGGCAACCACACAGCATGACACTACAAACAATACCCTAGCAACAACATAACACCTTGGAAGCCACCCTCAACAGCCTAGTATCACCTATGTGTCATATCAAATGTGACTTAACCACTCAACCACACACACTTACTTGCAAACAAAGACACCATTAATGAACTCACATGGTCAAAATCAAAAGACATTTTCGAGTTCCTAAATCACCACAAGCACAAACTGCATTTCCACACTGCGATCTGATGGGTAATTTTGGTCCTAAAATGGAGCCGCCTACAAAGTCAGATAAAGTGAATCAAATCTATTATGTTAGCAAAAGCAATCCGATGGTTTACCCTCATAAAAATTCAGTCGGAAGGCAGGAGGGAGATAAAACATGAAGTGTTCCTAGGCGGCCCTGGTTCTATATTTAACACCCCAGCAACATCATATCAAGGGTACATGACAAATTAAACAGAATCAACTTGCTCTTGCAGTGCATGCTTGCACATGAACGTGTCACTGGTTGTGCATTCCAACAGGAATCGGTATGTGTATGAATACTTTTCAGAGCATTCTGTGACCCAGATTCCCCTGTGTGGAGCAAAACAAACCTGACAATAAAAAGCCCATTATTCCCAAATGTTATGGTTAATTATCAAAACTTAATCTTCCTGTTCTGCTGTGACATCCAGGACTGTGACACTGATGACGCAAGTGCTCCTTTCTACAAAAACTTTTGCTCTTCATCTTACTCCCAGACAAAGACAACAAATACTTTGAAGTATGAACTAGTCCCATCACATCTGCCTCACAGTACAGAGCAGGTTATTTGCCTGTTATTTTAGAGGTTATGTTTTCAAGCCAGAGCTTATTTCTTCTTAGACACGTACAATCTTACAATTGCAATTCTCGCCTCCTATAAGACAACCCACTCTGCGTTTTTTTTTTTTGCTGCACTATCCTAGTAAGGGTCAGTGGACTCTTAACTGCCATACAGTAATTCAATTTATATACAATTATGCTGTATCACGAAATGTAAATGTTTGACTACATAACTTTAGACAAAGATAATCTTAGTTCGCCAACATGAACACCATGGCTCAATGTGTCATTAAGCATGTACCTTCTAACCACTAGGTAATCAATCTTCAGTTGATTACAATTTTGGGGTATGACCTAAAATAATAAAAGTGGTATTATCAGACTAGGCCCAAACTGACATTTGGTGAGGACTTGGTGATTTGTGCACCAAGAAAGATTGTACAGAACAAATTGAAGTGCTGATTTGATTTTTTTATCCAAATAATATTCTGTGTAAATATAAATATAAAATATACATATCTGTGTAATATAAAATGTAAAACCATTTATTCAATTAATTTTTCAAAATGTAGTCAAATAAATTCATCTTTTAGATATAAAATATTTTTAAATGCATTTTCAATTGTATTTTGAAAAACCATTTGATCTCGCAATCTTAGTTAATCTTAATTTCAACATTTACTAATACATTATTAAAATCAAAGGTTGTATTTGCTAACATTAGTTAATGCACCATGAAATAACTTGAACAAACAATGAACAGCTGGATTTGTATTAACTAACATTAACAAATATGAATAAATACTCTAACAAGTGTATTGCTCATTGTTAGTTCATGTTAGTTAATACATTAACTAATGTTAACTAATGAACCTTATTGTAAAGTGTTACATATAATATATATATAATAAAGGAATGGTCCAAAAAGTTAAGAGAAGATATCATCACCCTTCACAAACAAGGAACAGGATACAAAAAGATGGAGAAGGCAATAAATGTTCTTAGAGATACCGTTGGAAGCATAGTTCGCAAGTTCAAAGTTAAAGGAACAGTGGTTACACTACCTGGACGTTGCAGAAAAGGAAGATATCAACGATTGCAACCAGATTTATGAGAAGACAGGCTCAGAAAACCCTCGAGTGGCTGCAAAAGACCTGTAGCAAGACTTGGTGGCAGCTTTCAGCTTTCACAGCTTTCAGCTTCCACAGTAAGGCACGTAACTCCAAGCCGTACACCACTACTGACCCAAAAGCACAAGAAAAGTCATCTCAAATTTGCAATCAAATTGTCAGGGCGGGCTTTATACGATGATGGACAGATAGTTCAACCGTAATGTAATCATCCACATCACCAAATAGCGCTTGGGATGAATTCGTTTACAACAAAGAGCTGCCGCTGGAGAATTTAAATGTGTAGATTCAGCTATCTGAATGTGTAGATTTGTTATAGAAAATGTAGACAGCGCATTCATTTTAAAAGAGGAACAGAGAACCGCGATCAAGGCATTTGTCGATCCAATTGAGTGCAGAGGCATTTTCTTTCCTGGTTCGGTTGAAACACGCCCCATAATCACAGCCCAATGGAGCAGCATCAGACTCATATTCTGACTAGAATCTGAGTATGACGACGTCAGGCTAGACAATGATCCCAAGCATACCTCAAATTCCACCAATAGTTGGGGGCCTTAAGGACATAAATAGGTAATTTCGCGCAAATTCATCCCATTGTTCGCGCAAATTCATCTACAAGCACCAAATTTGGCACAGATGGAGCTGAGGGCATACTGAAATGATTTAGCCAGGGCGCCCAAGCCAATGGTCCCTGAGACCAAGATGGCGGCCAAATCCAATATGGCCGCCGCCTGAAAGGGATTCGACTATAGCTTTTGAGCCAGATGAGATACAAATACAAACTTGATGTCTATTTGAACTTTTTTGACAATGGGAAACCCATAGGAATACTTACATTTATGATTGGGTATATCAGGACCCCCCAAATTCCCTAAATACAATATGGCCGCTGTCCGAAAAAGGGTTTTGACAACTTTTGAACCAAATGAAAACTTAATGTCT